TAACACGAACACACTAGAGTAAAGGTTGCATGACCAATATGAAAGATAATAAACCAAGCCATTCTATATCCATCAATACCTACACATTTTTAGTTTTGATTATATATAAAAGCCGAATAGTCTTCAGGACCTGGTGCTAACTTGAGACTTTTACAAAAATGTGTTCCAGTTCTGATGATGTTCATCATATGGTGAACGGAAGCTTAGCCAGCTTTTATCGGAAATGAGAGAGGATGTTTCGTAGACAGCGGCAACCGGAACGTATTAAAGCAAAACGGTTACAGCACAACAGGAATCAACCGTCTTCTTATGATAAAATCGGTCTTCGAATCTCTCAATCATGCACTTTCATACGAAATGAATGTCTTCAAAACAAGAAAAAAGTGGTCGATTGACTCCATGACATGGCAATGCTAAAATAAATGTATAAATCCAGCTCGGTTATTCTGAGAGTTTGACCTTAATGGTCGAAATATTTCTACGACTGCAAAAAAAGAAAACAAAGAAAGCCAAAACTGCGAACATAAACCAACACCTAGAGATAAGACACCGGAATCATATCGAAACTGAACAAAAACTAATTAGCATCTTCACCAAATGTAGCGGACTACACAAGAAGGAATCTAGTCACTCAGCAATGCGCCTAGTCCAGGTAACGTGGTAACAAGCAAGTACTATCTCATCCGTTCTATATTTTCGTAAATGCGAATATACTCATTTTATAGTAACGATTAAATGAAGGGCAATATAAAGACTATGATAAGCTACAAATATTGGCACATTTTATCACCTGGATGTTATTTTTTAAAGTTCACTTAAGGTAAAATATAGATAAGACTCTTGATAATGAACTCCCTTAGGTATGGCGAACAATTAATAACGTTGCCACATTTACATATCAGTTTTAGTGACAAACACAAAAATCTCTAAAACTGATGACATTATGACTGTGAAGCAGTAGGGCCTAAGGGTATGTAGAAACTAACGTTACCCTCATCACATATACAAGTCTCAAGACCAAGTCTGGCGCAATATGGCTTGCAGTGGCCCTCTTGGCAAAGACCATGCTCTGCGCAGCGGACGCCAGAAAGAAATGTTGGTCCTGGGCAGGAGGGCTGCTTGCCATCACAGTAGCCGTTGCCAAGGCAGGGAGTAGCTGAGCTAGCTTCAGCACATAAGTGCTCGGCTGGTGCTATCCGGCAATCTGTAATTTTATATGGAATAAAGTTGAATAAATATGTGAAAATAAGGGAAAAGAATAAAGAGCTTAAGAGGGTAGAAAGAGAATAGAATAATAAAAGAATGAGAGAACAGGTTTGAAGGTGGAAAAAATGTGAATTAAAGTGTGCGGAGTTAATGAGGGAAAATGGAATAAGTATAAAGGTATGAAAGCAAAGACTATAAAAAAAGTTTCTAAGGGAGAAATTTCATTGCCAGAAAAAAAGAGAAGCTGAGTGAATGAATGATAGGCCTAAATAGAGCACATACAGGAAGGCCTTTACTAAGGTAGGGAATGCTGTAAGCTTAAAAGGCTGAAATATTCGAAGTAAAGGATGAAGCATTTAAAAGATTTGCGACATTCAGGACTGCTGAGGAGCTTCGAGCATTAAGTGGCATGTGCTCATGCAGGATAATAGCATGGACAAAAATATACACGTTTTAGCAATTAATTCGAATAATAATAAT